AAAAAAAAAGTACGTTGAGTATATTGTATAAAAAAAAAAGTGGTCAGACCTCGATATAATCACCATGTAAAAAGTTGTCTTTTACCCTTAATATTTTTTATCTTTATATAGTCACTCTATTTTTAATACATTTTACAAGTATTCAAGATGTTAATTTGAACTCTGAGATAATCATGAATGCCCCATTGCTTACGATATCGACTCGGTAATCACCATTTTTAGTGTTAAAAAGTTGACCGCATGATCCAAATTGCAACAATATCATTTAATCCGTTCTTTTTATGCAAAATGCAACCACTACATGTTTAGCAACTTTCTCTCTAAACATTTATTTTAAAGAATTTCGTAGTGTATACACTTGGAATATTTTTAGAATAACCAATAAGAACAAGTTTTTGCGATCTCATTGATATATCGAATTCCTAATTGAGGTTTGTTTCTGTCCTACACAAGTAACAAAAACAGGAAAAATCGCACAATTGATAAAGAAAAAAAAATATTAAGGGTAAAAGACAACTTTTGACTGGTTCTTTGATTGACCACGAGGATCATATATACGAAAAATATTTTGGTATTCTTTCGAGAAGAAAAATATTTTAAAAATATTTTAAAGATTTTTTTTAAAAAAAAATATTAAAGAAAAGGAAAAAATTTAGAGGAAAAAAAAACGGTTATTGATTGATTAAACTTTATTTAAAAAAAGGTTGAGAACAAACAACTTTGACAATACTTCAATCTGAAACACGGGGGTTAGGGGAATTTCGAAACTATCCTGAAATGCATTTAAACACTTTAAAGTAGAAATAATTAGAGTTCGTACTATGTGTTTAAAGATTGTTTTGATAAAATAATAAAGCTGTGTAATCAGCATGAATGCTCATTGTTTGTTCAATAACCGCGTGCTTGGCGTGATACGTAAGACAATTTTTCAAAGACGATTTTCACGACAACGAAGAAAGCACAACCCACAACCACATGCATACTCAAGCTTTATCACAACTGGTTAAATTGAGAAAATCTTTATTGCAACTGGTTAAATTAAGTTAAATCTTTTAGTTATTGGCAATTCTTTCGAAGGCCACAAAACATCAGGTGAGATTAAAAGCCAATAAAATCATTTACCAGAGTTCATCAAAGAAAAACATGTGGTAATCTATAATTTGTCATGTTCAAAAAAGCCATAAAAAAAAAACACAGCCGGTGCGGTGTTTTTTTTGTTTATTCTTCTCTTTTTTTTGTTATGGTACACATATCATACAACCATTCTGAATTGGAGTTTTGTCGTATGATTTCTTGTTTCTTGTGAAAAATCAAGTAAGTATTTAAACGATGAAAATTGGAGTCGATGAGGAGAAGGAATCATAATTAAGTCTTATATGCCTTACAAATATATATACCATAAAAATCATATATGTTAGCTAAATAGCTATATGCTGGGGAGAGTCCATAAGTTTTTTTTTCATATATATATATATGTATATGTGCATTACTTATGCCTTAAGATATTTCCTAAACTTTTCTTTTCCCGTTCTTATGATAATCATAATTATTTTTAAAATTCTTAATGTTGTTTTTTTTTCCTTGTTTTTTTTTTTTCTTATTTATTGTTGAATAAGATTAATATACGCGTTACTACTGTTATTATAAACGTTATAAAAACAGAGTGCAGTCTCCGGTGAATTATGGTAAGTAATTTGATTGTCGAGAGGATTGGTGGTGTAATTTGAAAATAAATTTTCCGTTGATACATTAACGTTAATAGGAAAACCCGGTGTGATCGGACTAGGGAACATGGAAACCGGATTTTCATTGGCTTCGAATAAGGCAATATTTGGTGGACCGAAAGATCCAGTATTTTGTTGCATTGCTTGAACAACTTTAATTTGTTGAGCTGCGTTTGACGGTGTGATTGGTGGGGTTAATATGGGATTTATATCACACGATTGCACGGTCGGAGTAACAGACATAATGACGTTACTTTCGTTGTTCTTAAGTTTCGATAATTTATTTTTTATTTGAAGCCATCGAGTGCGGCATTGTCTCTGTTTTTGACACAACAAAAAAAAAAAACATTTTTTAAAAAACCAAGTATATTGGAAATTCATGTAAATATGTATATCGAAATGATCGAAATTTTTTTATGTATAAAATTCGAATTCGAATGTAATCGATTTCAAAATTTCGAGTATATCAAATATAGCATTAAAAAAATCGTTTAATATTAAAAATTTAATATTAAAAATTTTCGGGTATATTAAATTTAGAATAAATTAGGTTTTTTTTTAAAAAAAAATTTAATAAAAAATTAGGGTATATTAAAAGAATCATCATATTAAAGAATATTAAAGAATATTAAAGATTATAAAAAGATTATAAAAAGATTATAGAAAGATTATATTAAAAAAAAAAAAAAAGTACGTTGAGTATATTGTATAAAAAAAAAAGTGGTCAGACCTCGATATAATCACCATGTAAAAAGTTG